TAGCTAAGATAACTGTACTACCAATTTCTATCAGTTCATTAAAGAACAGTGCTTATATTGTTTGATCAGTTTTGCAGGCCTGTACCTGGTAATCTGAGCAACTACTTTGAAGATAATAATATGCAATATAATAACCATTGTTAATTTCCTATCATCTTGTTTTGAAATTCTGTATTTTTTCTTTTGACTTTTTAAAAGTTTTTTTTTTAATTTTAAAGAGTAAAAGAAGGACAACATAGCAATAGGGGGATTCACAAAATTACAGACAAAGTGGTAGGACATTATCAATGGTTGTTATTTCACCTATTGGTATCTTCAAGATAATTTCTCAGGAAAACAAATAGACAAATAATAGTGAGTTACAGACAAAAAATGGCAGGAAATTATCAGTGGTTGTTGTACTATATCTTGGTTTCTCCAAAGTGGTCTCTAGGGAAAACAAATTGAGCTATACATGAGTGATCAATCAAATAATCACTGACTATTCTCAATGGTTGTTGCTGAAAACACATAGTAACAAACATACATCCATTTACGAAATAGCATAGGAACAATACAAACATTACAGAGTTATGGACAGATTGGTAGGAAATCATCAATGGCTGCTGCCATACATGTTGGCATCCTCAAAGTGGTTTCTCAGGAAAACAAAGGTGTGCAAGAAAGATCCAACAAGTAGTTACAGACCAAGGGTTGCAAAAAATAGCAGGTTACCTCATCAGTGACTCCCCTCACTGAGGTGTGACAGCTGGAAGGAAGGGCAGGGCTGAAAAGAAGGACCGAGAGACCAGAACCAGTATCCAACAACGGGACGTCCACTTTTTCCTCTATAGTCATGATTACGCAGGGCTCCTCCTTGGAGACAATGGTCCTTCTCCATGAAGGCGGTTCTACAGAATCTGAATATTGGGCGCCCATGTAATCCATGAAGTCGCGGTGCAGACCTCTCCGGAGCGCCACTCGCTCCTCCACCGCAGCCCGCACAGTTAGGGGAAGAACGGCCTCCAGGGGGGTCTCCCCAGGTATTGCACAAGGTTCTCCTGGTTTCCAGCTCCTGAATGGCTCCGGCGATCCCCACTCAGCTCGACCTCTGAGTGGTCGGGCATCGGTACTCTCCTGTTCTCTGAGTCCTTGTTCGTCAGCTGCTCCTCCGCTGACTCCGGACCTTTCTGGCTCTCAAGGGCGGGGCCAAGAGCGACCCGCAGTGTGGCATGTTTTCCCAGAGGTTTCTCCATGTTGGGATGGTTCACGCACGTCTCAGGTTGGGCTTATGTATGTCAGTGCTTCTCTGTGGCATAGAGGTTCTCGACCTCATGGCCGCAGCCGGCCCAAGGGCCAGCGTGCGTCTCCGTGCCACTTCCCTGGCGCCTACTGCCTGCCTTTCCGGACATCTGCGCGGCGGGGCTGCCGGGGCCCCTCTTTTGCCTTTTTGAAACAGGGTCTCACTATGCAGTTCAGGCTGGCCTTAAACTCACTTTGTAGCCTTAGCTCATCTCGACCTCACAACGATCCTCCTGCCTCAGCCTCCCAAGTGCTGGGATTACAGGTGTGCACCACCACGCCCACCTCGAATTTCTGTATTGTTTTTATTATTTTATTTTTCTCTCTTTAAAAAAAGGGGGGGAGAAAGAGGGGGTGGGGGAAGGGAAGGAAGGAAAATGGAAAAGAAAAGATGCAAACAAAGCTTTTGTAAATGGGGAGAAGGGTTAAAGGGAGGGGAGAGGAATGGGAAAAGAACAAGAATCAAAATATATTATGTACATGTACAAATTCGCTATGATGAATGTGATCAATATGCGTGACAAATGTGTACTAATTAGAAATATATGTATATAAAATATAAAGTTAAAAAAGAAAAAAAAGGGAGGGAGGGAAGAATGGAGGGGTGAGGGAAAGAAACAAGGGCTAATGAATGATAATGAGGGAAAATTATTAATTAAAATAGAATTAAATGAAAATAGATTTACTTAAAATAGAATTAAAATAGCTAACTGGGTCAGTAAAGTAAAAAACTAATTTTTGTAAAGACCAACAAGATAAGAAAGATAAGAAAACACTTTCAGAATAACAAAAGTAGCTGGGCATGGTGATGCATGACTGTAGTCCCAGCTGAAGCAGGAGGATCATTGTGAGTTCGAGACCAGCCTGGGCTACAAAGCGAGCACGAGACCAGACTGGGCTACAAAGTGAGCTCAAGGCCAGCCTGAACTGCATAGTGAGATCCTGTCTCAAAAAAACCCCAGAAAAACAAAAACATGAAAGGTGACTTAAGAACAAATATGAAAAAGACTAAAAGTTACAGAAAAGTTTTCATTTATGACCAAGATGGACCCACAGGAACTGAATTCTCCCTCCCCCTCAAAAATCATCAACAACAGAAAGGACCACATTCAGGAAATCATGGTTTTCCAGACCCTGGACATTAGGTAGAAAAAGACAGTGGTCCTCAAGAGGTGGAAACAAATGAAAGAAAGAAAGAGGCCTGCTCCTGCCGGAGAGAGCTCCACTGCTCTGGCCCAGAAATCCCCAGGCAACACCAGTGGCATCTTGGAGGAGACAGCTGATGGCCAAGGGGCCCAGGCAGCTGGTTTTTAGGATGGAGAGCTGGGAGGAAAGAGATGTGTGAGGAGAGCCCAGGGGTCGGCAGAAAGTCCCCTGAAGATTTAGCACAGGGACTCAGGGCATGTGTGTGAGAAGGTCAGAGGCTGAGAAAGAATTACAGGAAAGCACTAGAGAACAGTGATCATCAGCTCTCACTCGGGATGGGAAATCTCATAAATCACAAAGCATTAGACACAGAACACACAGGCTCTTGCCTCAGAACTGGGGAACAGTTTGCCCTGAACTGAGCACTGCTGCAATCCAGTCTGTCTCAAAAGGACTGAAGTGTTTCCAAGTAACTCAACTATGCCCCAGGACAAAGCTGAAAAATAGGAATACCAAAGTAGTTGGCACTTAAAGAGATAAAAGTTACAATACCTGATAGCCAATCAAAAATGCCAGTTGTGCAAAAAAGCAGGAAAATATGCCAGGAAGAAGTAGATAAATAAGTGAATAAGTACTCAGCCCCAACCAAGACTTATAAGGACAAAAATATGAATGAACAAGAACATTAAAATAGATATGATTTAATTTCATATGCTGAATGCTAGAGTCATGGAAGATACATGAAAGTGAAAGACATAAATTGGAATCCTAAAGATGATATCTACAGTGTCTGAGATGAGGAGTAGTGGGTTGGATAAATTAAAATTTAGACACTGTGAAAGAAAAGGTTAACAGAATTGAAGACAGCAATAAGTGGTATCCAAAATTAAGCACAAAGAGAGAGAGGAAGAGAGAGAGAGAGAGAGAGAGAGAGAGAGAGAGAGAGAGAGAGAGAGAGAGAGA